CCAGAGCATATAGAGTAGCACTGTATATACCGTGCTATGAATATGACCATGCACAGCAGACCAGGAGGGAAAGATTGGAAACGAATACATCAAGCAATAATGGGAAAAGCATATAAATATTTAGCAAAATAAACTTTAACATACATAGATAAGCCACCAAATTAAATCTCCCTCCCTCCATCTATCTATCTATCTATCTATCTATCTATCTATCTATCTATCTATCTATCTATCTATCTATCTTCTAATCTATATTTTATCTATAGAATCTTCTATAATTGTGTAGTGGGTCTTTCTATATTGAATGATTTGTTTGTTTAATTTTTTTTCCAGAGCCTTATATAAAGAACTACAGAGCTCAACCCTATAGAAAGAACTACCGGCAGCTAAGGAATAGTGTGTACTGGAAAAATAGCATTTCCTGGAGAAGAAAACACATCAATAGGTTAACCAATACCAAATGGTCAGAAAGAAGATATACGAGTAACATTTTAAAAAAGGAGCAGCTTACATTTAGGAATATATATATATATATATATTCTCTATATATAATTCACAATAAATATATATGAACATATATTTTAAATGCATATGTATGGATATGAATAACAATGAATGACAAAAAAGACCATCATTTTGAGAGATAGAAAGAAGGGATTGCTTATGGGAGGATTTGGAGAGAGGAAAGTGAAGAGAAAGATATAATTTATAATCACAAAAGAAATAAACAAATAATAGATGTGGTGCAAAGGATGGAATCCACAGTCTCACGTGTGCCATCCCTGGCACTTGCAAACCCCACACCTCAGTTGCTTGAGACAGAGTCTCTGCACACCTCAGGCTGGTCCTGCATTCTAGATCTTGTTGTTGTGCCCTCCTGATTGCTAGGGCCTGTGCAACCTGTGCAGAACAGACTACCGTACATCTAAATAAGTATGTTCTGAACAGAACATGTTCACTGTTTAATAGTCTACGTCAAACACACATACAATATAGTCACTGTTCTAGACTTTGATTTGGTGATGGTTTCGTAGGTGGAGGATAACTAAGCAGCAAAATAAGAAATGTCGAGAGAAAGGCAATCCTACACTGGCGATAATGACACCTGAAGTCAAAAAGAACTTTAAAAGCTTAGTCAGCTTAAATACACAGCGTTACTGGAGGTAATTTAATGGTATTTGGATAATGTCCAAAGATATTTCTTTAAGAAATTTAACTGTAAAAGAAAGGAGATAAAATAGTTAATGGGTGCAATGGTTTTCAACCTTCCTAATGCTGTGACTTTTTAATACATTCCTCACGTTGTGGTGACCCCAACCATAAAATTATTTTCATTGTTACTTCATAACTGTAATAAATCATATTGCAAATATTTTTAAGTTTGGAGATAAAAGTTTGCCAAAGGGGTCGCAACCCACAGGTTGAGAACCAGTTGGTTAGAGGAAACTTTGCCCTCAAGGGAGGTTTTGAAGTGAGGAGACTATATAATGAAAATAGCCTAGAAAGAATAAAGTGAAATTAAAAGATATAGATAAGGAACAAGTCTCTTGAGACTCTGAACTAAATTGTATGGCAGAGTAGGTAGATAGCATCATGAACTCTTTATATGCTGTAATTTTTTGTTTATGAAACAGGTTTCTCTGCATAGTCTTGGCTGTCTTGGAACTTGTCTGGTAAACCAGGCTGGCCTTGAACTCAGAGGTCCAACTGCCTGTGTCTCCCAGTTGCTGGGAGTAAAGGTTTGATTTAGCTTAGCGGAAGAACACTTGCCTAGCAAGTGCAAGGCCCTGGGTTCAGTCCTTACCTCTGGAAAAAAAGAAAATGAAACAAACAAATGCACAAGGTAACTGGTAAAAGCTTATTTATTTTTAAGTCCTTATAATGAAACTTAGACTCTACCTACTGAGGCTCCTTATTTTTTAAATTAATTAATTCTTTTATTAATTACAATTTATTCATTTTGTATCACAGCTATAGCCCCCTCCTTCATTTTCTCCCAATCCCACCCTTCCTCCTTCTTCACCTCCCATGCCCCCCCCCATAGTCCACAGATAGGGGAGGTCCTCCTCCCTTTCCATCTGACCCTAGCCTATCAGGTCTCACTAGGACTGGCTGCATTTTCTTCCTCTGTGGCCTGGTAAGGCTGCTCCTCCATGGCAGCTCAGTGTCCAAATGGATTCCCTAGTAAGGGGAACAGAGGCTGTCTGTGACATGAACTCAGTGGCTGGCTCTTTGTTCTTTTTTTTTTAGTTTTGTGTGTGTGTTTCTGTGTGTGTTTCTCTCTCTCTCTCTCTCTCTCTCTCTCTCTCTCTCTGTGTTTATATACATGCTTGTGCCCAGAAAAGGTCATCAGATACCCTGTACGCAGTTGTGAGCCACCTGACATGGGTGCTGGGAATTGAACTCAGGTCCTCTTGAAGAGCAAGAAGCACACTTAACCCTTAAGCCATGTCTTTAGCCCCAAGCATCCTTATTTTTAAGCCCTTAAAAATGGTTTTGATAAATGTATGAGAGTAGTTTTACTTCTATATTTAAATGCCAAGTGTTTTTATTTGCATTCTAATTGCAGTCTGTAATGTCGATCGCCGCCTGTTCTTGGCATAGACTCACCTTGCTCTCTACTTTCCATCATTATCAGTTGCTAACTGTATGAATTCATGCCATTGTTCAGTGAAGAGAGCCATGTCTTCATAATCTGGACTTTGTACCTTACTAGCTGTGCGGATCTGAGTGGACTGTTTGACTCTTTGGGTCCACGGTTTCCTAATCTCTATTATTGGAATGATATGCTAAAACACACTGCTGAGGACTGATAGAAATGTGCCAGTGAATACAGTTGAGGTGCATAGACTTGCAACATAGGAGTTATCAAATTTTAACTACTCTGGCCTAACTGTTACTACTACTTACTTGACCTCTGCTCACCTGATAAAGTTTTTTGTTGTTGTTTTTAAATAGATGAAAAGATTCTGCAAGCTCATCGGAGCAGGAAGCCTTAGGGCGCTGAAATCCCACAGAGCAGGATGGAGGAATGGAGGAAACAGAGGCTTGGAGGATTACACACAGGGTTGGAGAAATAGCACAGTACATTACCTATGGGGACTTTAGACTCAGTGTCTCTGTACATCTTGTTGTAAAATAGTGACAGTTTTACAGACTGTTCTAGTTTTAAATATTTTATGTATACAATAAAATAAGTATCAGATAGACATCAAAAGTAATTTAATATTTTAATCAAACATTCCCGTTCTATTTTAAAGCAAAATTAGCAGCAACCCCACAAAATAATTAAATTTACCTTGTACAAATTTTAATTTTATATTATCATGTATGTGTAAATTCTTTATGCCTTTTTAATTATCGTGTTCATTATCTTAATTTAGGAAACTATATTGAATTTTTTATATTCCAAGTATATTATAGAGCCCTAACTACATTTTTTAAATATACAGCCAATGATTTTGAATGTCTTTGCAATTTATTTTTGTATATTTCTGATATGTAGAAATTTAATACCTTCTTAATTCATAAATCAAATATTTTCTTTTGTGGCATCACTTTTTTATATTAAGGGTATATTTCTTCACTTCTTATCCCTTCAAAATATGGACAGTTTGAAAGATAAAATGTTTGAAAATCAGCACTAATGTTGGAGAAGGTATGAGTGAGCCATTTAGACTGAGTCCTAATTCCACGGGTCTACATATCTTTTTAGGCACCTGGGAATATATAAATGTATGATATATGAAGCTGTTTATTGTCAAGGTAGAGCCAGAGTCTTCCAAAACCTATAATTGTTTGGATACACAATCATCGACCTGTGCCATGTGTGTGGCTGAACCAAGCTCCAGTGTGGTTTTGCTCATATGTAGTCAGTCAGACACTCACACCACAAACACAGCAGGTTAATTCACTTCTACCTAAGGACACTTTACTCATTCTCTCTCAGCTAAAAGTCTCATGTCTGTGTGGACTGAGCAGTAGTCATGGTGGTGTGGGCATTTATGACCAGGTGTGTACAGTAGAAAGAAATACATGGCTGTTAACATGCAAAATTGCTAGGTGACCCTCTTTCGTACTTTCTCAGCGAAGAGAGGAACCCTGTAATGTTCATGCATTTTTATTTTTCAGCTGAGAGAAATTAGAGATATTTTTAAAAACAAAATTGATTTTGGAAGCTGTGGTGGTTCAGTCTATTTGTCAAATTGACTGGACCTTGGGAAGTCCAGATATCTGATCAAACGTTATGCTGTGGTTCCTTTAAAAGTGGTTTGAATGATATTAATATTTAAATAAGGCAAGTTACCCTCCTTCACATGGCAGACCTTATTCAATCAGTTGAAAGTCTAAGGAGAACAGAGGCTGGCCTTCCCTCAAGTTAGGATGAGGTCTTCCTGCTAGAATCCTTCTAACTGCTACATCAGTTCCTCTCACTATTTTTTTTTAATTTTTTTTAATTTTTTAAATTGGAAAACTGGATATTAGTTTGTCAGGCTTCTGAGCTCAAGTCCCAGTACCCCGCTTTACCTTCTAGAGCTTGACAGTATCCAAAACCATGAAGGTGAGTCCATTTGACAAATCTTTTGTTCTCTGTTTTTATTTTGGTTTCTCTCTCAGTCTCCATTATTACCGTTTCTGTCTCTGTCTTGTGGATTCATGCCCTTGGAAAACCTCAAACCAGAAATCCAAATGTAAATTTAGGTGGAACCTGATGACAGTACTAATATCCACTACATAAGGTTATTGGGAATGAGGGTAATGGATAATAAATCACTATTAAATACATTGCTAAAAATAGCTTTATTTTTAGATAGGAATTGTAACTAAATTATCTGAAGTAATCCATAAATAGCAATGACTTTTAGCAGAAATATCTCATTTAGATGAATTTTTAATATATGAGACATTTACTATCCTCTAAACATACAACAAACATACAAATACACATTATATGCACGTTGACTGCAAATAGACGCACACACATACACACACACAGATACTTGTTTAACTGTTAAGCATCTTTTTATTGTGCAGATTTAAAATCTTTATAGGACATGCAGCATAAAAAAGTGTAACATATATCAGTAAGCATATAAAATTTCAGTAACCTTTTGGATCAGCACTTGACTTACATGAGACTGAGCATTTAGGAAGAACAGACATGTCTTGGGACACACAGTTTACAGACTGAATCACAGAACAATTTCCCAAGTGATTCTCCTTATATAAAGATAAAGAATATCTTTACATTTTAAAAAGTATGTACTATAGTACATTTTCAGTTATGTACACAGTTTAAAAGTCAAACTGTGTCCATGCCAGTGTCTGTTTTAATGCAAACAATCAAAGTAGGTAGCAGGTTGGTAAAGTGTCAGCAAAACTGAGGGAGAGAACAAAAGTCAAGCAGAATTCCAATCAATGTATGAAAATGAAAAGAAAAGCTTATTTGGAATTTTAAAATTACCTCTAAGGGCAGAGCTGTAATGTGAGTGGGGAGTAGAAAGCTTTGGGTGTCCCATGCAGGCAGCTTCCTGGAGGACTCAGGTACACAGGTGAAATTCCTCAGTTTGGGTTCAGAAGAACTTGAATTTATTCCAGCAAGAACATTACCTCAAGCTTTTGCCACCACCCCTCCCCCATCCTCCCTCTTAACAAAAAGGTGCTTGGATTAGGCCAAAGTCTCCTGGCAGGGGGAGGGGCCAACTGTCACAGCATTACAGACTATTGCAAGTGCTATGCATAGAAGGGGTCCTGCTTGCCACAGCTTTGGCAGTCCCGTTTTGGCGGCCTCCTTTCCGACGGCCCTTCCTGAAGGCCCACTGATCAGCTGAAATGGGAGCACAGTGTGGAGTGAGCCACTAAGCCATCCCAGTGAGAGAAGGCTTAGATTCAGGATCTTGAAAATAAGTTAAGATGAACAGACATGATGCCTTCATTCAGATGTTGAGAGGCAGGGGAAGCTGGCTTCTACTCCTGCCAGCCCAGAGAGGGCTCCGCCTCATCTGTCTGCTTCAGCTTATCTCACTGGGTTAATGTTGACCAGGCTCAACATAGAGAAAGATGCTACATGACCAAGCACAAATATCAAATTCAACAAGTTCTGTATCTCAGAGTCAGAGACAAGTACAGAGAACTAGCAAGTAGATTTTTTCTATGTTTTGTTTTTAGGAAAGCTGGCATAATGAAAGTGGGTGAGTTAGACCCTATTTGAAAAGAAAATATGAAAACTTAAAAGGCACCTAGGTCTTCTCAGTATAACAAATACTCAGGCACACAAAGCAACAGGTTAATGAGTAAGACATTCTTGCTATCATGAGCTTAAAGATTATGGTCTCCAACTTGATGGTGGTCATGAGATTCCACTAGATTGTTAAGAGTGTTGAAAGACAATTACCTCCTCAGATGGCTGGGAAATATCAATTTAAAATCTGCCTACCTGTTCTTAAACACGTGACCATATCTATCCCAGAATTCTTCCTTTTCTATGACATCTATGGCTTTAGAGTAGGCAGTTGAGGTTGTTGGTTCTTTTTCCCTGTCTCCTAATTCTTCCTATTTTTTTTTTCAAAATATCTTTCAACAATAGGTTTATATTTTTGCCAATGAAACAATGATCCATATACAAAAAAGAGAGGGAAGGAATGGGTTAAAATATCCCAGACTGTCAAAAGTAGGAGCAGAAGCTCAGAAGAGAGAAGTAGTACATGAGAAGATGAAGGGAATGACTTCTTTGTTCTGGACTGACACAAACCATTCATGAATTGCTGCTGTGATAGCAATTTGGAACTTGCAATTTGGCACCAAGGAAATAATAAGGGGGAAAAAAACCCTTCCATCCTTGAAATGTCACTCATATTTCTTTCTGCATGTTGATACGGATATTGCTGAATATCTTGCCGATAGCTTCAAAGAGTGGGTCGCAGAAAGTGTGGACATAGATGGAGTAGACGCGGCTGATGCACTGGATCTCAATCAGGAAACTCTTGATGCACGGTACAACGGCCCAGATGTGCAGGAAGGAGAGGATGGCAAAGTAAATGCCCCAGATGAGCGCCATCGGGATGCCAAAGATGGTGGACAGCAAGCGGTAAAACCAATACTTTGTCACAGTGAAGGTGGTGAAGCTGGCCTTCCAGATGCCGTCAAAACTGTGCGTCCCTTCTGGCTCTGCAATCACATCTTCAAAATCGATCTGAAAGGGAGCAGAGGCAGAATGTGAGTGTGAGCAGAGGAAAACAGGCTGGAGAGACACCGCTTGAGATGCATGCAAAGGTCTAGGGTTTGTGTGTCAGCCCTGTGCAAGACAATTCGCAGTTGGCGGCAGCATCTGGCTCCTTGGAACTCACTGGGAAAATGAATGGATGGGTTCTTCCCAGATCTGACTATTCCAGGGTCTCTCTTGACTCTGTCAACAGCTGAGCACTACTGGTTTTAGGGCAAATGGATACATTTAAACTTTTTGCTTTAAAGTAAAACTCAGAAACACGAGTAAGGATGGACAACATCCAGTAAAATGCAAAGAATGTGACATAATTTTTACTTCCTTCAAAGACAGTCGTACATACAGTATTAAAAACTAGTTAGCTTAAAGTCCATTATAACTTTGCAAATAGTATTAGCAGAATCCTTTCAGGAAGTAGGTCACGATGAGCTGTGAGGCATTGACATGACTGTGGGACAGTAAGACTAGAGCAGAGCTTTGGAAATGTGTGGGATGGCAAACCCTAAGAAGGAGCATGGGAATGCTGGGAGGTGAGCCTCAGGAGCAAGCAAGAATGAGGATCGGGAGTGTCACAGGCAAAGGAAACCAGACTGACCACATCAGAAAGTTAGGATGAGGCCAGAATGGATATTATTTTCCATACAGTGGTGGTCTAGGTAGATGATGAGCAGGGAAGGACAGCCACAACTGCACAGAATTCCTTGAGATGAATTTGACAACGTGTGTGTATATAAGTGCGTATTTGAGGTGTGTGTGTTTGCGCATGCATGTGACTGTGAGGGTGTGTGTATGTGTGAGTGTGTGCTTGACAAAAGCTAAGAGAGACCAGCAGGGAGATTATGGCACAGCCTAAGTCAAGATAAGAAAGTGGTCATTTAAAAAAAAAAAAAAGGAAGGAAGAAAGAAAGAAGTATGGAAGCGAGAAAGAAGAAAGAGAATGGTGGAAGGAAAAGAAACAATTGAGCAAAAGAGAAAATAATTCCTGGACATTCGTAGGACTTGATTATTTCAAAGAGAGGAGCAAAAGATGATCTTTGAACTCCTAATCTGACTGTTGGGCAGAACACTGGTGAAGAGCAGGAAGAAAATTAGAATAAAAAAAAAAAAAAAAACTAAGTTAGCAGGAAAGAGCCTCATTCTAGAAGCAGGCAAATTGAGAACATAGTTTTTGGTAATGATCAAGACAAATTCGCATCTTCCCAGAATCATGAATACTTCAGAAATCCCTCTTGGGAAGCCACTGGGAAGCAATCAACTAAGTTTGCAGTCACATAGCACTGACCACTCTCCAAATACCTCTATGCGTTGCTGAGCTGGCATTTCAGACTGATTTGGAACGGTAGGTTCCTGCCTCTTTACAAAAAATGAGATATACGGTGACTTTCTAAAGACAGACACACAGCAGTAGGGGAATCCTAGTACAAACTCAGCCCTTTTGCAATAGCATTCATTTCTAGACACTTGGTCACCTACATAGTTAATTCTTAGGCTTTATTTAAACTAAATGAAGCACAGGATTAAGAATAGTTATCACCAGGAAGGCAGGATGAGTACAGGGCAACTGCCTCCTGGTGGCTGCCCATTGAGGGGCTCTAACAGCTGGAGGGCCACAGAAATGATGGCTGACAGCTGCAATGCAGCAGAGCTCAGACTCAAGGCTAGAACTCCTTTCAGGCCGCTGCTCCGTGCCAAGGAGCCACCTTTGATTTAGCACACCAAAATGTCTTTTGGGAAAAGTACATGACACCAGTTTTAAAGTTTATTCTCTAGAACATCCTGTTTCTTGTTCTATTGCCCAGAGTCGTAATCGTATAATATGCAAAATAGTTTGGTTATAATTTTGTAAATGAAGGTAAAAAGACTTATTCCTCAGCACATTTAGAACTGGATTGAGGTAAACATCCACTTGTGTTTTCTTAACAGCTTATAGAAGCCAGACAGATAGCTCAGTTGCCAGCATAAGAGCATGAGTTTGGTCTTCAGAAGATACTTTAAAGAGCAAGCAAGCAAACAAACAAAACAGATATAGGGCCTCTCAGGCCAGCCAGCCTAGTCTAGTTGGGAAGCTCCTGAGCAGTGAGGGACTTTGTCCTTAATAATAAAAGTTGGATGACTTTGGAGAAACAACACTGATATGTCTTCTAACATTTATACCTACATGTAACCGTGCGCACGCGCACACTCACACACACACGTGCACACATGCCAGGGGTGGGGGAATACAGGCAAACCAGACCAAGATTTGGACGACGTTTCCGTCCAGCTTATTTAGAATTGTCTATTTGCAGGGTTATTATTCTTTCCAAAGCAGTGGAAAAATGAGAAATTACGATTTTTCCTTCATTTCAACTAAGATATATTCCTTTTTTACTTTTAAAAAATTTTTATTATTTTTATCTGTGAAACTGAAGAAGTCAAAATTGCAAAATTATCATTAAAATTTAAATCTGGAATCAAAGGATAATCAATAGATAGTGGTTTACGAACATCATGGGAGTACAAAGGGCAAAGTTTCATTGCCTTTATTAAATGGAAGGTCTATTACCTATTATCCCGGACATGACAATGGATTGTTCAGGTAAACAAGAGGTTGGTTTGAGGCTCAAATCTGCTTTGTTTAATATTGAACTACTTTATGAAAAAGTATTTTGAAAATGAACAGAGTAGTCACAATAATTAAAAGGCATGCTGACAGATTTAAAAGCTCGCTGCCCTTAATCCTTCTGGTAACTAATAATTTCCTCGACTGACCTCAGAGGCCATGGTATAACACGAGTACGGGGGGGAGTATATTCGTACATATGTACACATATATATGTTTTATATGTAGCATATATAAAACGTCATATATAATATATGTCATATTAACAAAGTATATTGTCAGGGAAGTTACCTAGGAACATGTTTGTATTTAAAATTTCTTGACAACAATTTCTTTAACTGCTACATCTAAGTACTTTCCTAGTAAACATATTGGAAACTTTTTCCCTTTTTAGGTACTTTTGAAAGTTTCTAGGTAGCTGCATTTTCGGTGCCTTCAAAATAAAACAAAAACAAAAACTAACACAAACAAACAGAAACCAGGAAGTGAGCACAACATGCAAACACCGCAGTGAATTTTGTGCAGGTTTTTTCTGGGACAAAATGATGAAAAAAAAATATTAACTCTAGTCAATTCATTGCTAATTTAGTCTTAAGAATGTATGGCAGTTTGAAAGACTGAAACGGAACCGGCAAATTGGCTGCACCTGAGGACAAAAGCAAGGCAGGCTGATGAAGCATTAGAGCCAATATCCATCACTGCAAAGATGCTTACTTTGAATGCAAAGCCCTGACATGTAGCAAGTGCTCAATAAACAACAGCATTGACAAATTCCTTCACCAGCTGACTTGGGTTTTCAATAGATTAGCAAGTATGATTGACACAGCCCATAAAGACTGTTAATTCAGTGCCTACCCCTCGCTCAAGAGGGCTAATCTGTGTCTGGGATCACTTTTCTCACAAGCCTCTGTGATGCCCATTCTTACTCCTTTTTGCAGATGAGGGTATTGAGGGAAGTTAATAAATTGCTCCAGGTCAGCCAGATGTTAGAGAGCAAAGCCTGACTGTGCCGTGTTCCAGTTCCATACTCCTTTTGCTTCTGCACTGCTGGGAACCCAGACTCTAACAATAGTCTTGGTGCTTAATCTTTCCTGAGGTAGAAGGGTGTCCAGAAGCACTCAAGTAATCCAATTTAAAAATGAGGTACAGAGCTAAGAGAATTCTCAATAGAGGAATATCAAATGGCAGAGAAACGCTTAAAGAAATGCTCAACATCCTTAATAGTCAGGGAAATGCAAATTAAAACGACCCTGAGATTTCACCTTACACCCATCAGAATGGATAATATAAAAAACTCAAGTGACAACACATGCTGGAGAGGATGTGGAGAAAGGGGAACTCTCCTCCATTGCTGCTGGGAATGTAAACTTGTACAACCACTTTGGAAATCAATCTGGCACTTTCTCAGACAATTAGGAATAGTGCTACCTCAAGATGCTATACCATTCCTAGGCATATATCCAAAACATGCTCAAATATACAACAAGGATATTTGCTCAACCATGTTCATAGCAGTTTTATTTGTAATAGCCAGAAGCTGGAAGCAACCCAGATGTCCCTCAACTGAGGAATGGATACAGAAATTGTGGTACATTTGCACAATGGAATACTACTCAGCAATTAAAAACAAGGAAATCATGAAATTTGCAGGCAAATGGTGGAAACTAGAAAGGATCATCCTGAGTGAGGTATCCTAGAAGCAGAAAGACACACGATACATACTCACTTATAAGTGGACATTAGACATATAATATAGGATAATCATACCAAAATCTGTACACTTAAAGAAGCTAAGCAAGAAGGAGGACCCTTAGGTAAGATGATCAATCCTCATCCAGAAAGGCAAACAGGATAGACATCAGAAGAGGGAGAAAACAGGGTACAGGACAGGAGCCTACCACAGAGGGCCTCTGAAAGATTCTACACAGCAGGGTACCGAAGCAGATGCTGAGACTCATAGCCAAACTTTGGGCAGAGTGCAGGTAATCTTATGAAAGAATGGGGAGATAGAAAGACCTGGAGGGGACTGGAGCTCCACAAGGAGAGCAACAGAACCAAACAATCTAGGTCCAGGGGTCTTTTTGGAGACTGATACTCGAAACAAGAACAATGTATGGAGATAACCTAGAACCTCTGCACAGATGTAGCCCATGGCTGTTCAGCGTCCAAGTGGGCACCCTAGTAAGGGGAACAGGGACTGTCTCTGACATGAACTCAGTGCTGGCTCTTTGATCACCTCCCCCTGACGGGGGAGCAGCCCTACCAGGCCACTGAGGAAGACAATGCAGCCAGTCGTGATGAGACCTGATAGGCTAGGGTCAGATGGAAGGGGAGGAGGACCTTCTTTATCAGTGGACTGAGGAAGGGG